CCCTTCTTCCCCTTCCATCAATCCCTTCACCACTCTCCCTATCTCGTCTCTCCCCACCACCGTCCCTTCCCTCGGCCTCAACGCCACGTGGATATCCTCCGTCAGTAGCACGGCGTTCATCTTCTGCTCCGCGTACAACGGCCACGCTATGAGCGGCACGCCATTCACCACGCTTTCCAGCGTCGAGTTCCACCCGCAGTGGGTCAGGAACCCGCCCGCCGATGGGTGGGCCAGTATCTGGGCTTGTGGGGCCCATGATGGGACCATTAGCCCCCTGTCTTTGGTCCGGTCCAAGAATCCGGTCGGGAGATAGGTTAACGGGTCGTTCTGGCTGTGTGAATCGAAGTAGGACGAGTTTGCTGTCCCGCTCGGACTCCGTATGACCCACAGGAACCGTTGGTCACTCTTCTCCAGGCCATGAGCCAGTTCATTGAACTGGTCGAACGTGAGTGTTCCTCCGCTGCCGAATGACACGTACAGAACCGAACCGAGCGGTTGGTTATCCAACCACTTTAGACATTCGGACTCGTCAGTCCGGTTCGTGCTTGACGATCCCATGTTAACCAACGGTCCGACCGGGTAAACCATCGGTCTATCGGGACTGGGTTCTTGCAAGGCCTTGATGGCGTTTGGCTCTAGCTCAACGAAAGTATTGACCAAAATCCCTTCCGCTTCTTTGTATCTATTGGTGTTGTGAAGAAGCCATTTATACGCGTCGTCCTTCCGGTCTTGCGTCGGGTCGAGGAGATCCTTACCCTGAACCGGTACACAACCGGGGAGACTAACCGGTTCGGTTAAATCCCGGTACTCGCCCGGCATCGTTTTATCTAGTTTCGGCAAGTGCAGAAAAAACGACAAGACGTTGGCGGTTGACGGGAAGAACACGTACGGCGCCACGTGGAAATCCACCGCGGCGTCGAAGGCGTCTGTACCGAACAGATCGACGATGAGAGCCGCCGGGAGGCGTTCCTCCGCCGCGAAGATGCCGAACATGCGGCGGAGCTCCGGATCGGAGCGAGTTACGGTGAGCGAGATCCGCGTCTCGATTCGCGCCGTCGGCGGGAGGTCGGTGAGATCGACGGGAGGGAGGAAGGCGGAGGCGATCGGCGGAGGAAGCGACTCTAGGATAGCTCTCTGGGCCTTCGACGGTGGACCTTCGCCGGCGATGAAAAATGTGACGGTTAAGCCGTGGCGGTGGACGAGCCGCTTCGCGAGTTCGACGGCGGGGATGAGGTGACCCATGCCGGGACTCGGCATGATCGCTACGTGGGTTGCTGATTTTGCTTCCGCCATTGATGTGCGATCTTCAAGAAATTCTGCAGAAATCTTTTTTTTTTCTCTTTCTAATTTTGTTTTATACACAGGAGAACAGAGTGAGTGTCTTTATATAGAGAATTCGTGTGTATCCATTTTCATTTTTTTTCCCTTTTATGTGGTGTGCTGTGGTTGAAGAATGTGCATTATTGCATCCCATGATTGACTAAAATTTAATTACAGAATATACGTGATAGATATAAAAAAAAGACAGATCAAATAAAAAGAGCCATCATGTGATAATTGCTAAACCTTTTTAGAAAAAAAAAAATTTCTGGGTGTTCTTTATAAATTATTTATTTAGCTTAAGAAATCGATATAATGCATTGAAAATGAATTAGGTTGCTATTAAGATCATTAAGGTATTGGCAGCTTGATGAAGAGATCGTAATAAATAATAAGTTGAATTACGATTTACCATATGATCTGATTGCAAAATTTTCATGCTAAAGATGATGTTTTATGCACTAGATTTAAAATTTGTACAAGTAAATGTTGCAATCAATAGACATCAACCACTGTCCGAAAATTAAATACGTCGTCAAAGTACGATACTGATTATAACAAATTATAACAAATAAGTTGTTTATAATATTGATATAAAATTTAAATATAATTCTATTTAACCAACGTTATGCATAAGATGAGTTTACAGATGGAGCAAGGGGAGGCGCGCGGGTCAGAAAAAGCGTGCCAGTGACTTGTACGCACGTGTGGTGTGACGAAATGCATACGCAATGCTTGTGCCATGATTTTTTTTCTTTCGAAAAATAAAATAAAATAAATAAATAATAGATTTTGATGGGTCATTTGCAAAAAAAAATGCAATTAATGATTTGATTAAACGGATTGGACTTGAACATAGAGCGAAAGGGTTAAAACGCCACTTATCTCAAGATCCATAATAACTCTTGTGGATGATTCGATGTCGATGTTTCGGTTTTCGAATCGGTATTTAAATGATTAGTTTGAGAATGATATTTTTGATTTTATAAAAACTATATCAAATTAGAACTGAATGTTAAACGAGTCAATTTTAATATTGATTCAGTTCAAAACGATATAGTTATAGGAATACCAAACTATATATTTACCTATATATTTGTAGATAATTTGAATTTTGATTCGATATTTTATCAGGTTTGGTTCGGCATTTACGATATTCAATTCGATAATGATTTATTCGATTTTATAAAAAAATATATATGAAATTAAGACCGAATATTATTTGGTTTTGTTCGATCCGATCTGATTCAATTTCGGTTTGGATTGAACCGGAGTGATCACCCCTAATTGCATGTTTATATGTAACCCCACACACACACACACACCAAACTACAAAATAAATAATCTTATAGTCCAATCTCTGTTTACTATATTCTAATTAAAATTAGCTTTGATATCCAACACTTATAGTCCAATCTCGGGAATTAATAGACGACTAAATATTTATCAATTATATGTAAGAAAACTAATGATACGATGGGATTTTTAAAACTGTAAAAAAAAAATTATCCTTATGATGATTGTATTAGGATATCTTCTATATGATTCTATAAGATTATGTTGGTTACTATAGATATAATCATATCTTCTCTGATACATGTATCTCCTTATCTTAAGGAACTACTTGCTGTATATATTTCTTGTACGTGATTCAATAATATCATCACTTCAAAGTGTATCATGGTATCAGAGCTTTGGTAAAAATCCAAATTTTTTTTTTCCTTTTTGATCCTTCACCATGTCCTCTGACGCCACTTCCTTCATCACACCTCAGATTCCCACTGAATCTCACACACTGCCTAATCCAGACAATCCGGAGCGTCCTCTTGTCATGATTAACATGACGAACATCACCAAATTGACTCCTACGACATACGTCACCTGGAGTGCTCAAATTCGGTCTCTTCTTCGAGGGTATGATCTTGAAACCTTTCTTGTTGCGGACTCAGAACCATCTCGTACGGTTCTCATCGATAACGTCTCGCACCCAAATCCATCATTCCTGTCATGGGTTCGCCAAGATCAGCTGATCTTCAGTGCCATCCTTGGTGCTCTCTCTGTTTCGGTGCAACCTCTTATTGCCGCCGCCGCCACTACACATGCTGCTTGGCATGTCCTTCACTCTACTTATGGTCGCCCAACTCGTGGTCATATAAAACAGATCAAGGATCAACTTCGGCGTTCTGTCAAAGGATCCCATACCATTGATATCTTCATGCAAGGCATCAAAACCAAGGCCGATACTCTTGCCCTTCTCGGTAAACCGATGGACCCCGAGGATATCATTGACATTGTTCTCATCGGAGCAGGTGATGATTACAAACCTGTTGCTGATGCTGTCAATGCCCGAGACTCCATCATTTCATTTGAAGAACTTCACGAAAAGTTGGTGAATCGTGAAGCTGATCTGTTGAGTGTGGCCCCTCTGTCATCGTCCTTTCCAATCACAGCTAATGCTGTGAACCATCGCCCGAACCAACATTGGCGATCGAACACTCAGTCTCCTGGTCGCAAACCCACATCGGGATCTCGTCCGTCACGTCCTTTTTCACCACGACCGTATCTCGGTCGATGCCAAGCTTGTGGCACACAAGGACACACCGCCAAGTATTGTCCGATGTTTCGCCTTACTGCTCAGCATGGTTCGGGTCCTTCATCATTTCAGGCTAATGCAAATCATGCTGCTTTATCCCCTGATTTGAAACCATGGATTCTCGACAGCGGAGCTTCCCACCACATCACGACAGATCTTGCAAACTTGTCTCTTCATACACCGTATTCCGGTAATGATGGTGTTATTATTGGCGATGGCTCGGGTCTAGAGATCTCTCATACTGGTTCTACTTCTCTTTCTCTTCCCTCTCGTACCATATCCTTACACAATACCCTTTGTGTTCCGTCCATGACTAAAAACCTTATTTCTATTTATCAACTCTGTCATGACAATAATGTTTATGTGAAATTTTTCTCCCATTCATTTCAGGTGAAGGATCTCAATTCGGGGGCGACAATATTAATCGGTCGAAATAAAGATGGTATGTACGAGTGGCCAATCTCACCAAATAAAGTTCCCTCCTTTCAAGCTTTTCCATCGGTCAAGTCCACTTTGTCCGAGTGGCATTCCCGTCTAGGTCATCCGGCTAGTGATGTTTTCAAACGCATTGTTTCGAGTCTTTCCATTCCATTGTCGAATAAAGATTTATCTTCTCTTTTATGTAATGCGTGTGCTATCAACAAGAGCCATAAGCTTCCTTTTCATAAATCTACCTTGCTTTCCACCGGTCCTCTCGATATAATATTTTCGGACGTATGGACATCTCCCATCCATTCTTTTGATGGATATAAATATTATTTGATTTTTGTGGATCACTTCACCCGTTACTCGTGGTTGTTTCCGCTAAAACAAAAATCATACGTTTTTGAGGTTTTTAAGAAATTTAAGGCTCTTGTTGAAAATCGGTTCCGTACACGCATTCGTATTTTATACTCTGACAATGGGGGCGAATACAAAGTTTTAACACCGTTTTTGACTACACATGGTATATCTCATTTTACGAGTCCACCACACACACCCGAACACAATGGAATTTCTGAAAGAAAACATTGTCATGTGGTAGAAACTGGTCTTGCTTTGCTTACCCATGCATCACTTCCTCATTCGTTTTGGACATATGCTTTTGCCACAGCCATTTATTTGATTAATCGAATGCCTACACATGTTTTACATTTTTCAAACCCTTTTGAAAAATTATTTGGCATCCCACCGAACTACACCAAACTTCGTTCCTTTGGCTGTCTTTGTTACCCGTGGCTTCGTCCATATTCTTCGAATAAACTCCAACCTCGGTCATCTCCGTGTGTCTTCCTTGGCTATTCGTCGACGCAAAGTGCTTATTTTTGTTTCGATGTTCCTACCTCCCGGATTTATGTTTCTAGACATGTCCAATTCTTTGAAACCGTGTTTCCTTTTCTTAGTCTTTCCTCACCTTCCTCCGAGTCTGTTTCTTTGGACCATTCGTCGTCGTGGCTGCCACCTTTTACGCCTCTTTCTGATTCACCACTCGTACCATCTTCGTTGCCGCCCCTGCGTTCGGATTCTACACTCTCAGTCACTTCACCCTCATCGACTTTACCTATGCTCACACCACCATCACCCTCTATTCCTCCTTTGCCTCTACCTCCGATTAATCATCATCCTATGATTACACGGTCCAAAAATAATATCCATAAACCTTCCACCAAAGTTAGCCTCACCACCAACGTCACCACAGCCAAAATATCCGAACCCTCAACCCTAAACCAAGCCCTCAAAGACCCGAGATGGCGCCAAGCTATGAACAATGAGTTTGATGCTCTTGTTCGTAATAACACGTGGACTCTTGTTCCTCCTGATCCTACATTTAATCTTGTTGGCTGCAGATGGGTTTATCGTGTCAAATACTTGCCCGACGGTTCGATTGACAAGTTTAAAGCAAGACTTGTGGCTAAAGGCTTCCATCAACAGTCCGGCATTGACTACCATGAAACATTTAGTCCGGTTGTGAAGCCGACCACCATCAGACTTGTTCTCAGCCTTGCCGTGTCCCACAATTGGAGTATTCGTCAATTAGACGTTAATAACGCCTTCCTCCAAGGCACTTTGACGGATGATGTGTACATGGTGCAACCTCCGGGTTTTATTGATCAAGATCACCCGACTCATGTGTGCAGACTTCGGAAGGCTCTCTATGGACTTAAACAAGCTCCTAGAGCTTGGTATAATGAGCTCAAAACATTTCTCCTTGAGCTCGGCTTCACCAACTGTGTTTCTGATACATCGTTGTTCATCTTGAAAGATGTCGATTCCGTGATTTTCTTCTTGGTCTATGTTGATGACATAGTAATTACAGGGAGCAACTCTTTCAGCATTCAACGACTTATTGATTCCCTTGGACGACGGTTTTCGCTTAAGGATCTTGGGTCTTTATCATATTTTCTTGGTGTGGAGGCTTCTCGGTCTGATCATGGACTGCTTTTGTCTCAAAGGAAGTATATCTCAGATCTTCTTGCTCGTACGAAAATGAGCTCTGCCAAACCCATTTCGTCTCCCATGTCTTCATCTACTCGCCTTTGCTTACATGAGGGAACGACCTTGGATGATGCCTCAGAATATCGTGCTGTTATTGGGAGCTTGCAGTACTTGTTATTCACTCGTCCCGATGTAGCGTTTGCTGTAAATAAGCTCTCGCAATTCATGCATCGGCCTACCACAGTTCATTGGCAAGCTGCAAAACGGATTCTTCGTTATTTGGCAGGAACTCGTGAAAAAGGTATCTTCTTTAAAGCCAAGAATACTCTCTCTTTGCACGCATATTCCGATGCGGATTGGGGCGGAGACAAAGATGACTTCTCCTCTACAAGTGCATATGTCGTATACGTTGGTTCACATCCGATTTCGTGGTCGTCTAAAAAGCAACGTGCTATTGCTCGTTCTTCCACCGAGGCGGAATATAGAGCTGTTGCATCAGCCGCCGCGGAAGTTCGTTGGGTTTCTTCTGTCTTATCCGAGCTTGGAATTCATCTTTCATCGCCTCCGGTTCTTTATTGTGATAATCTTGGTGCAACGTACCTATGTGCCAATCCGGTGTTTCATTCACGGATGAAACACATTGCTATTGATTATCATTTTGTTCGTCAACTTATTTCATCGGGTTCTCTACGTGTTTCACATATCAGTGCTAAGGATCAGCTTGCAGATGCTCTTACTAAACCGCTTCCGCGATCACCGTTTGAAGACTTCTGTGTCAAGATCGGTCTTTCTTCCGAATGTCCGTCTTGAGGGGGCGTATTAGGATATCTTCTATATGATTCTATAAGATTATGTTGGTTACTATAGATATAATCATATCTTCTCTGATACATGTATCTCCTTATCTTAAGGAACTACTTGCTGTATATATTTCTTGTACGTGATTCAATAATATCATCACTTCAAAGTGTATCAGATTGTACAAAACAATTTTATATATATAACTAATGATACGATGGGATTTTAAAAAATTGTAAAAAAATTATCCTTATGATGATTGTACAAAACAATTATATATATATATAAGTAAACCATAAAATTAACTAAAGACAACACCACCGTATTACAAAGATATAACAGTATATAATACGAAAGAGTATACTTCATATAAGTCAAACAAATAATCAGAGTTCACATATTTAATTTAACGTCGGATGGGGATTAACAACAATACATGTGCACATAATTAATGACATATAAAATTATTGTTATTATGATTATATAAATTATTTTCCGTCAGGGCATCTTAGGCAACTTGTTTTTGTCGTTTTCCTCACCATATTCCTATCCATACACAATAAATGGTCGGAGCTTAAACAAAAATACCTCGACAGTGATCGTCGTATCCGTATGGCGTATGTCACTAATGACGATGAGTAGTCGCCCCCCCCCTC